CCCCCCCCCCCCCCCCCCACACGACGGAGTCCGGCGGTTTCCTCTTCTCCGTGCATTCCGGATTCCCTTCGGAGAGAAGTTACTCCGTCCTTGACTTCCCACCTCCGGTATATTCCTTCTCAATGCCACATTTCCTCTCTTGGATTGGAACTTGATCTCGACTGCGCTCATCTCCACTGACGGATCTTCCCACAGGTAAACCTTCGCCCCTAACTCTTAGTTCTTGTTTTTCTTTAATCTCTGTTCATTTTGTTTTGGATCAGGTTTACGTATTGTTCTTGGCTCCAAATTTTTCTTTCCTTCTGTATGACTATTTGGATTTAGATCCATAGCTTTGGCTTGCGATCTTGATCCGAGCTTGACCCTTTTCATCCGTCGTTTCCTGCTTCTATCATCTTCTATGTTGCCTGTTTCTTTTCCCCTCTCTTTGTCAACATTTTCAATTCTGCTTCATTTACATGCGAACATCGCCTAAATTACTCTCTCTAGGTCTGTTTTTGTCATGTCGCAGGGAGTATTATGTTCCGAAACTGTTCCGTTCCATTTGGGAATCGATGTTCTGCTTTTTACTTAAACGAGTATTAAATGATGTTCGGAATTGAGCCATCTTCTCGAAATTTTAGGTTCTTCTAGTCCATTAACACGTACTCGAGATTCACCTTTCGAGCTTGTTCTTTGTTGCTTCGGAATTCACAACTTCTCGTGCTTAGTCTCTCGAGCAGTTGGCATTCTCAATTTTTGGTCATTTGATCATTTACTTCTGTGCTGCTTTCCAACGACAGGCTGGGACATTCAGCTGTGTGCTGATTCGCTTACACCTCTCTAAGTTATGGGGGAGTGGGTTATTGGAGCTGTCATCAACCTCTTTGGCAGCATTGCCATCAACTTTGGAACGAACCTTCTTAAATTAGGCCATAACGAGGTTCGCAGAGATCTTTTCTTTCTCGTTTACTCTCGGTCTACACTGTCTAGCTGAGTACTCTTCACCTACTTGTTATTGCAGTTATTCTTTGTAGAAAGAATTACTTATCATTTTTCTTGAGGATGCAATACAGACATGTTATAAGAGCTTTAGTGGCAGGTGTAAATGTGTCATGCATCATAAAATATATATGACTTCCTTTTAGAAAAAAAGTATTTCACTTTTCAAAGTTGTAAATTTGTTCCCTAATTGGTTTGGTAAGTAATAGCCCATCAAACTTCTGATTTGCAATACTAGTTGGACTCAATTATCTTCGTTCATCGATCACTTTTTATCAGAAGTGTGTTCCAGATAATAGCCAAGTCTTTTTTTTGGCATTCGTCATTTCATGCTGCAATGTCGTTATATGTACTGGGGTTATGAA